TTATATTTCTCGCAGAACAAAGAGATCTTCGCCAGGGCTCATCGAACTCGAGAGGCCCATTGGTCGACTATGAGACGCACAAGATCACCGCAACAACCATGTCCACAACTGTTGCAGAATTGCACGGACTGATGCGTTGCTACGGTTCAGCATTATTTCTTCGCGGTCTCTGGTCAGACATAACAGGTGAAATCGCAGATGTACACATCCGCACTGATGCGAATAATCTTGTCACCACAGCATCCACAACACATCAACCGGAACAGAAAGAGACAATGCATTTGATCCAAATGTTGAGAAAGGAAAGCCACAGTGGACAAACGCATGACCTTGCACATGTACGGAGTGAAGATTGCCTGGCAGATTCGCTGACCAAGCATTCAGCTAAAGCAGACGAGCTCATCAAGGCCGTCCTCACCGGCAATCTCTTGAACGTTGATGCACCTTCACCCTTCCGTACTATGTTGCAGACCAAGGCATTTTTGTTTGAGTGGCTAGCGCACAATACGAAGCACGGACCCGACATCGTTGCCTTTGCAGGAGTCGGTGTAGCAGAATCCATGTTTGCTTATTGGGGAACCTGGGCATGACTTGCATGTCCACGAATTCTGATGCATGAGTTTTTCATTTTGCACATTTTCAATTCCTCAATTCCGTGATGCGTGTTTTGCACTTGACCCATTTTGAGTCTCACCGCAGCCACTTTCGGTTTACAACCAATCCGACCTTTGCAATTGTGTATGCTCGATCACCTCGAAGACATGCCGATTCTCGACATGATCTTCGGACGATCCAACACCACGGCTCCTTTGCCAAAGCCGCTGGTGAAGAGACGGGCATCTCCGTTGAAGGAATCCCCTGCGCGTGATGAGGAAGATAAGACATCCGACTGCCCGATGGAGCAGGTCGCCGATGAGAATCCATCCGCCTCTCAACAACCAGAGAATGTCAACATGGAGCAGGTGGACTACGATCCAGATTCCGACAACGACCATGATTCAGATGAGGAAGAGCAACCTCCCGCAGGAAGGCCGACGTCAAAGCTGATGCCACATCCAAAACTGATTCCAAAGTCACCTCCACCTACATTGAGGCTTGCGTCAAAGGTCAAGCCAGCACCGAAGAACATCCTGGATGAGGAGACAGAATCCGACAATCATCCTGGTGACCGACCTGCACTTCCAAGGCGACCAGCGATGCGGCCAACTCTCACATCCAACGACCGGTGGCGCGTACCAGATGGATCAGATACCGACATCAGCCTCCAGAAGGAATCCGTACACCCAGGACCTTTCGGAAATTCTAAGTTCCTCACTTTCGTGTACGAATATTACAAGGAGGAGTGCTCAACGACCGCCTGGAGGCAATATTGGCGGCCAACGCTTCAAGGTGAAGGCTCTCACGCAGAGAAACAATACATGGACTTCATCAAGAAGGTCTACGTCATTTGCTGCCACACCAACGCTCAGCCAGAAGTTTATGGAACCGACATCATCCCGATGGTGTGTCATAATGGTTTCATTGATCTCGAGAAGACCGTCCAGAATGTTGAACAGGTTTGCAAGTACTTCCGCATGGATCCATCCAAGGCAAAACAGATCACCGACCTCATCCTCTGGCGAATCGAGAGAATGAGCAGATTTTTCCGGATGTCTTCGACATGATCCAAGGCATGGCATCCATAAGGAATGCAAACGACAAGTGGACATGGGTCCTGATGGATCCGTTGATCTCTACGATGCATTGTCCTGCATTACACATGCCAGGAACTTCATTGGAAACAAGCCAGGACTTCTCTTGATGGCTATGTTCCCGAACTATGGAAAGTCACGTTTCGAGATAGCGTTCGTGTATCCATCCGTGGACAGGCCATACAAGGAGCGCAAGGCAAGGGGAGGAATTGTTCCAAGAAATCGATGGATCGACAAACTCACCAGGAGATCCGCATGCGATGCACTCCGGCCTGATGGCAAGGAATTCCTCAATGATCCCGAGATGGAGTTCTATGTGACACGCAACAGCGGTCACACACGACAAGTCGATCTCCAATCTTTTGGACGACCCCTGTACACCGAGCTCACCACTCAGAACCGGACTATGACCTTCCAACGGAATCCATTCCTCCAAGTCCGCATCCGTCAAGATCAGATGCGCCCCATGAAGACGAAGGCACAGCTCAGGTAAAATACAGAATGCGAAGGCCGGCGCCACCGTCCATTGAAGAAGAAAGAAAGATCAAGCCGTTCGCGAAGAAGCCCATCACTTTCATGTTCCATGCAACCTATGGAAATCAACTAATCAGCATCATGGAGAACGGGCTCAGATCTGGGAAATCCCAGTCAAACCCTTCGGGGAGAACGCACGTCCACATGGCATGCATCGACGACGTTATCCTCGACGATGACGAGTCAGAAGCAGCACTCACCCATGTGCCAGCAGAAAGAGATGCACTGTTGATCCTTGCATTCCTCAAGGACCTGGATTATGGCATCCGACTCTCCGAAGAGCGAACAGCGCTGACAGAACAAACCATCGAGGCGAAGAATATTGTTGCAGCATATGAACCTGACGGTACCTCCATGGTGAGCAACAACTGGATCATGAAGAAGCTTCTCAATAGAAATGAGCAAGAAGGACGCCGAGGAAGAGCTCACGGAAACAAAAGAAAACTTCGTACAACAAGGATCCAAGGAGAGCTCAGCCTAAATTGACAGAATGCGAGAGAGCCCCATTGGCACACATCGATCCTACTGTCAATCTCGGAGAAGAAGAGTTTTAATTAAGCTTCCGCTTGGATTGAAGAAGCTTAGGTCGCATGATGACCCGGAAACCATCCGAGCATTTGCCGATATCCTGGGATCGCTGATGCAGCCGACCGACCGTCCCCCTGTAAACCATCTCAAGACGCATGAGTACACCTCATCCCTGACGATCAACATGCTTACCATGAACCATGGAAACCTCACGAGGAACCCAAAGCTAGACGGCAGGGAGGTGCCCAACATGGCGATGAAGGATCGACCAATCGTGAAGATGATGATGCAGAACAGCGCACACATCTTATGCCTCAATGAAGCAGACGCATTCCTCAGTCCTCAAGATGACAAATCCAGAGAACTCATCAAGACGTTCATCCGATTCGGGTACAAGGGCATCGTTATCAAGCAATGGTCATCCAGACCAATTGCATGCCTTGTCCGCGGCGGACCTTCCGCAAGAGTGGAACTATTGGCAAGACACATTTCCACTAAGAGTCAGTGTTGGGGAACCACATTCGGGATGTTCAGATGTTTCGTCGGAACAGAGGCAAATTCCACTGATCCTGAATACGACATTCCGACCTCGGACTGTTTGGCAACTACGGGACCATCCATGTTCACTGAGTCCAAGAAGTACATCGACCCCCAAGGACACGGACCTAACAAAGAGATTGTCGTTCTCCACATCGAGCAGAGTGATGAGTATCCTGGTATGCTATATGCTTGAATTCCGCGGATGAGACCTGATAGTCGAAGATGGCAGACGTTGGATCGTTCCGCATAGCTTCCAGTTGTTCATCGCTCTTGGCGTTCATCTCTTCCTTCCGGAGAACCTGCTGGATATTCGTTTTGCCCCATCCAAACACGAATGTCATCATCACATCTGGGAATGTTCGATCATACCCTGATCCAGTCTTCATGTATAAGTGATGACGAACAATTATGGTGCATGAAGTCTCCATTGCATACTCCATTCTGTCCACGAGTGGAAGATTCTCCGTCTCATTCCACAAACTCTGATATGCCTTCATGAGGATATTCATGACCATTGGCTGGATTGTAGACGTGCTGGAGTCTGCTGTAGGTATTCGCGGACTTGTTGGCGTCTCCAGTGATCGCGTCACATTGGTACAATGTCACGAGTGGCAGGATTTCGTTCTGAAAATCTTCCCTTGCTGCTCCATGGCTGATGGTGGGATGATTGTGGAAAACTCCAATGGTAGCAAGCGGAAGATCTGCCCTCGTTACGTGGCGGCTGTCAAACTCGAGGAGTGATATGTTCATGAACGGCTCACAAGATTCCGACTCGCACAGTCCGCTGATGGTATATATCCGCAGCAGATCTGCCGCCAGGCAACGCAACTTTGAGAGATCCAAGGAGCGCCTCAAGAAGAAGCAATCCTGGACTCAGCAAAAATACAGAGACTACAACAAGCAGTACTGGGCCAATCCAAAGCAGTGGAAGGACTATGGCGATTCGACCTGGAATGATTATGGAGACTATGGCAGTCAATCCGACAGCAGCCGTCGGTGGTACCGGTGATCACTTGATGACGCAGCCACCTTTGGCAGTCATTCGACCGATCGAGAAGACTTACACGATCAGCACTACGAACTACAACCAGATTGATCCTCACCGCCAACAAGACTATTCCGTGAGAGATCAATCCGTCCCGCATGTACGTAGCGTTGTGCATCACTTTTCGATACATCTAGGTATCTTACAGAATCAGTACAGAATGTTTTCCATCTTGCTCACATGACAAATCATCCGCGCAAAAATTGGATGAATCATTGTAACAATAGATGGCTACGGCCGACACTTTCAAAAATGGCTACGGCACGTAAGGCCAAGAAGCCAAATCATACACTTTCGGTGTGAAAGGTCAAAAGAAATTTGTGTCTGTTTGGTGTTGCTTTTGGTTACACCAATTGACCTTTCCACACACGCCGTTACACATTTGGCTCAAGGCCCTCTTGTAAATAGCGTATTGCATTCATGCGATAGCAGTAAAAGACAAGCCACCAGGGACAATCCATCCTCCAATCATCCATATTGGCATATTGGACTCTCTCCGGAATAGATCCAGGGACCAACACAACGACCTCTACTACCACAGGGTACCAGTTCCCTTCTGGGATAGGCGCCCCGGCAGTGGGCCTCCCCCCGTTTTTCCCGATCACTTTTTTTCCACCTTTAAAAGCGGTTGTTCTCCTCTTTCTCCGCCGAAAGCCCTCTAGGCCCAGTGCCTGGGTGCGATGGGCGCGGCGGCCCGGGGCTCCGGGGCCGTGGCCTTGGCCAAGGCGCTGCAGGACGACCGGGACGCCAAGGTCCGGAGGACTCGGGTCTCAAGCCGCTGTCGCGGGTGTTGAAAGCTTGTGCCGTAGCTGCTGAAGGCGAGGAAGGGATTGAGCGTTGCTTGATAAAGTCTGGCTTTCTGACCTTCAGCATCACCTTTGAGAGGCATGGCGCAACTATATACCCAGAAATGCTGCTGAATTCCCAAAGGATGTAAGCCTACACACGGTTGGAATGTCAGCCAAGCCAGTTCATTTGGCCGCCTACTCTGTGTCTTGTCATCCTCCGTGATTGGACTTAAATGCGGAGAAGCAGACGTTTCATTTCGCGACCTAAGCTGCAAAGTTCGGCTTGCAAGGGGCGAAGAGTCACGAGGAGAACCGCTGTGGCCCTAGGCCAGCTGGGCTCCTTCGCCGGCTGGGCGCCCAGAAATTGGCGCCCGGGAATCTCAGCCGCTACGTTGTGATGAGTTTTTGGATGCCAAGGTCCGTTTGGCCCATTTCTCCGGAAGGGTATTTCAGAGTGACGGCTATGTTACAGAACGGGGGCATGCATGGGCATTCAAGGAGTTGTACCCTGATTCAGCCACCAGTGGCACACAACTCTGTGGACGCATCCTTGCCAGAGCTGCTGAATCGGGTTCAAACGCCTCTGCCTCCGAGGAAACCATGGTGCGTCTGCATTGGCGAGAGCCCTGCAAATCGACAAGGATCTTCAGGCGCGGCAAAGGAACGTGAAGAGAATACTTGACTCGGTTTTCCAATTTTTACTGGCAACTCTTTGATTCATGGCCACGTGGGCGGTCAGAACTTGAGTCTCAATTTACTTCTGATGGCACTGCGGCTTGTCGGTCTTTGTGGTGTGTTGCGCATCTCACGCAATCCTGGGCTTGCACGCAGTCAGTTTAGAAGTTCTCTAAACCCAAGCGATGACGATCTTTTTGGTGGATCGGCATTCCGCAGATCCGGAAGACAAAAACTGCAAGCCACTTGACATGCAAATACTGCAAGCCTGGAGGTGAGATGCCGCTGCGCTGAGGCTCTCGGCTGTGTGAACGCTGGAGAGGAGCGGTTAGAAAGGAAAGGCAATGAGGGTGCAGGTCACAGGGGTGCAGGGGATGTTGATGATGCTTGCCGTTGTGCAAGTGATACGGGCCGAGGTGGGTTTGAGGGGTGCAGGGGATGTTGATGATGCTTGCCCTTGTGCAGGGGATGTTGATGATGCTTGCCGTTGTGCAAGTGATACGGGCCGAGGTGGGTTTGAGGGGTGCAGGGGATGTTGATGACGCTTGCCGTTGTGCAAGTGATACGGGGGCCGAGGTGGTGGGTTTGAGGGGTGCAGGGGATGTTGATGATGCTTGCCGTTGTGCAAGTGATACGGGCCGAGGTGGGTTTGAGGGGTGCAGGGGATGTTGATGATGCTTGCTGTTGTGCAAGTGATACGGGCCGAGGTGGGCCGAGGGGTGGATGTTGATGATGCTTGCCGTTGTGCAAGTGATACGGGCCGAGGTGGGTTTGAGGGGTGCAGGGGATGTTGATGATGCTTGCCGTTGTGCAAGTGATACGGGCCGAGTGATACGGGCCGAGGTGGGTTTGAGGGGTGCAGGGGATGTTGATGACGCTTGCCGTTGTGCAAGTGATACGGGCCGAGGTGGGTTTGAGGGGTGCAGGGGATGTTGATGATGCTTGCCCTTGTGCAAGTGATACGGGCCGAGGTGGGTTTGAGGGGTGAAGGGGATGTTGATGATGCTTGCCGTTGTGCAAGTGATACGGGCCGAGGTGGGTTTGAGGGGTGCAAAGGGATGTTGATGATGCTTGATTGTGCAAGTGATACGGGCCGAGGTGGGTTGAGGGGTGCAGGGGATGTTGATGATGCTTGCCGTGATACGGGGCCGAGGTGGGCGAGGGGTGCAGGGGATGTCTGATGGATGCTGCCGTTTTGTGCAAGTGATACGGGCCGGGGTCTGTTTTTGGCGGGAGTTCAGGGTTGGGGGGCTGAAGTTGCCGTTGTGCAAGTGATACGGGCCGAGGTGGGTTTGAGGGGTGCAGGGGATGTTGATGATGCTTGCCCTTGTGCAAGTGATACGGGCCGAGGTGGGTTTGAGGGGTGAAGGGGATGTTGATGATGCTTGTCATTGTGCAAGTGATACGGGCCGAGGTGGGTTTGAGGGGTGCAGGGGATGTTGATGACGCTTGCCGTTGTGCAAGTGATACGGGCCGAGGTGGGTTTGAGGGGTGCAGGGGATGTTGATGATGCTTGCCCTTGTGCAAGTGATACGGGCCGAGGTGGGTTTGAGGGGTGAAGGGGATGTTGATGATGCTTGTCATTGTGCAAGTGATACGGGCCGAGGTGGGTTTGAGGGGTGCAGGGGATGTTGATGACGCTTGCCGTTGTGCAAGTGATACGGGACGGGGCCCCCCCCCCCCCGAGGAGGGCTGTTTGAGGGGTGGTGCAGGGGACTCCCCGCCTTCGATGATGCCTTTGCCCTTGTGCAAGTGCAGTGATACGGGCCGAGGTGGGTTTGAGGGTGTGGAAGGGGATGTTGCCTTCGAGGTGTCGGGGCCATTTCGTGAGGTCGAATGGGTGTTGGGGTGAAAAGGATGTTTGATGATGCTTGTCATTGTTGAGTGTGATACGGGCGAGGTGGGTTTGACGGGGTGCAGGGGATGTTGATGTTGCTTGCCCTTGTGCAAGTGCTTGCCCTTGTGCAGGGGTTGTTGATGATGCTGCCGTTTGCGCAAGTTTTAGGGGTGCAGGGGATGTTGTTGATGATGCTTGCCGTTGTGCATAAAAAAAAAACAAAAATAGGTTTTGGGGGGGGAAAAAAAAACGGCAAGCATCATCACCATACCCTGCACAAGGGGCATGCATCATCAAATCCCCGGCACCCTCCAAAACCCACCTCGGCCCGTTCACTTGACTAACGGCAAGCTTTCATCACCCTTCAAAACCCACCCTCGGCCGTTTCATTTCCACAACGGGCAGCCATCATCAACAACCCCTGCACCTCAATAAGCCCACCTCGGCCCGAATTCACTTGCACAACGGCAAGCATCATCAACATCCCCTGCACCCCTCAAACCCACCTCGGCCCGTATCACTTGCACAACGGCAAGCATCATCAACATCCCCTGCACCCCCGGCCCGTATCACTTGCACAACGGCAAGCATCATCAACATCCCCTGCACCCCTCAAACCCACCTCGGCCCGTATCACTTGCACAACAGCAAGCATCCCCTGCACCCCTCCAAGTGATATGGGCCGAGGTGGGTTTTAGGGGTGCAGGGGATGTTGATGATGCTTGGTTGTGCAAGTGATACGGGCCGAGGTGGGTTTGAGGGGTGCAGGGGATGTTGATGATGCTTGCCCTTGTGCAGGCGATGTTGATGATGCTTGCCGTTGTGCAAGTGATACGGGCCGAGGTGGGTTTTAGGGGTGCAGGGGATGTTGATGATGCTTGCCGTTGTGCAAGTGATACGGGCCGAGGTGGGTTTGAGGGGTGCAGGGGATGTTGATGATGCTTGCCGTTGTGCAAGTGATACGGGCCGAGGTGGGTTTGAGGGGTGCAGGGGATGTTGATGACGCTTGCCGTTGTGCAAGTGATACGGGCCGAGGTGGGTTTGAGGGGTGCAGGGGATGTTGATGATGCTTGCCGTTGTGCAAGTGATACGGGCCGAGGTGGGATTGAGGGGTGCAGGGGATGTTGATGATGCTTGCCGTTGTGCAAGTGATACGGGCCGAGGTGGGTTTGAGGGGTGCAGGGGATGTTGATGATGCTTGCCGCTGTGCAAGTGATACGCTTGCCGTTGTGCAAGTGATACGGGCCGAGGTGGGTTTGAGGGGCGCAGGGGATGTTGATGATGCTTGCCGTTGTGCAAGTGATACGGGGCGAGGTGAGGATGTTGATGATGCTTGCCGTTGTGCAAGTGATATGGGCCGAGGTGGTGAAGGGGATGTTGATTCATTGATGATGCTTGCCGTTGTGCAAGTGATACGGGCCGAGGTGGGTTTGAGGGGTGAAGGGGATGTTGATGATGCTTGCCGTTGTGCAAGTAATACGGGCCGAGGTGGGTTTGAGGGGTGCAGGGGATGTTGATGATGCTGGCCGTTGTGCAAGTGATAAGGGCCGAGGTGGGTTTGAGGGGTGCAGGGGATGTTGATGATGCTTGCCGTTGTGCAAGTAATACGGGCCGAGGTTGGTTTGAGGGGTGCAGGGGATGTTTATGCTGCTTGCCGTTGTGCAAGTGATACGGGCCGAGGTGGGTTTGAGGGGTGCAGGGGATGTTGATGATGCTTGCCGTTGTGCAAGTGCAGGGGATGTTGATGATGCTTGCCGTTGTGCAAGTGATATGGGCCGCAGTGGGTTTGAGGGGTGCAGGGGATGTTGATGATGCTCGCCGTTGTGCAAGTGATACGGGCGGAGGTGGGTTTCGGGTGCAGGGGATGTTGATGATGCTTGCCGTTGTGCAAGTGCAAGTGATACGGGCGGAGGTGGGTTTGAGGGGTGCAGAGGATGTTGATGATGCTTGCCCTTGTGCAGGTTTGAGGGGTGCAGGGGATGTTGATGATGCTTGCCGTTGTGCAAGTGATACGGGGCGAGGTGAGGATGTTGATGATGCTTGTCGTTGTGCAAGTGATACGGGCCGAGGTGGGTTTGAGGGGTGCAGGGGATGTTGATGATGCTTGCCGTTGTGCAAGTGATACGGGCCGAGGTTGGTTTGAGGGGTGCAGGGGATGTTTATGCTGCTTGCCGTTGTGCAAGTGATACGGGCCGAGGTGGGTTTGAGGGGTGCAAGGGACTTTGATGATGCTTGCCGTTGTGCAAGTGATACGGGCCGAGGTGGGTTTGAGGGGTGCAGGGGATGTTTATGCTGCTTGCCGTTGTGCAAGTGATACGGGCCGAGGTGGGTTTGAGGGGTGCAAGGGATGTTGATGATGCTTGCCGTTGTGCAATACGCTTGCCGTTGTGAGTGATACGGGCCGAGGTGGGTTTGAGGGGTGCAGGGGATGTTGATGATGCTGGCCGTTGTGCAAGTGATACAGGCTGAGGTGGGTTTGAGGGGTGCTGGGGATGTTGATGATGCTTGGCCTTGTGCAAGTGATACGGGCCGAGGTGGGTTTGATGGGTGCAGGGGATGTTGATGATGCTTGCCGTTGTGCGAGTGATACGGGCCGAGGTGGGAGTGAGGGGTGCAGGGGATGTTGATGACGCTTGCCCTTGTGCAAGTGAGGTGGGTTTGAGGGGTTGATGATGCTTGCCGTTGTGAAAGTGATACGGGCCGAGGTGGGTTTGAGGGGTGCAGGGGATGTTGATGATGCTTGCCAGTGATACGGGCCGAGGTGAGTTTGAGGGGTGAAGGGGATGTTGATGATGCTTGCCATTGTTCAAGTGATACGGGCAGGGGATGTTGATGATGCTTGCCCTTGTCCAAGTGATACGGGCCGAGGTTGGGTTGCGGGGTGCCGGGGATGTTGATGATGCCTGCCCTTGTGCAAGTGATACGGGCCGAGGTGGGTTTGAGGGGTGCAGGGGATGCTTGCTGTTGTGCAAGTGATATGGGTCGAGGTGGGTTTGAGGGGCGCAGGGGATGTTGATGATGCTTGCCGTTGTGCAAGTGCAAGTGATACGGGCGGAGGTGGGTTTGAGGGGTGCAGAGGATGTTGATGATGCTTGCCGTTGTGCAGGTTTGAGGGGTGCAGGGGATGTTGATGATGCTTGCCGTTGTGCAAGTGATACGGGCCGAGGTGGGTTTGAGGGCTGCAGGGGATGTTGATGATGCTTCCTTGTGCAGTTGTTATACGGACCGAGGTGGGTTTAAGGGGTGCAGGGGATGTTGATGATGCTTGCCCTTGTGCAAGTGATACGGGCCGAGGTGGGTTTGAGGGGTGCAGGGGATGTTGATGATGCTTGCCCTTGTGCAAGTGATACGGGCCGAGGTGGGTTTGAGGGGTGCAGGGGATGTTGATGATGCTTGCCGTTGTGCAAGTGATATGGGCCGAGGTGGGTTTGATGGGTGCAGGGGATGTTGATGATGCTTGCCGTTGTGCGAGTGATACGGGCCGAGGTGGGAGTGAGGGGTGCAGGGGATGTTGATGATGCTTGCCCTTCTGCAAGTGATACGGGCCGAGGTGGGTTTGAAGGGTGCAGGGGATGTTGATGATGCTTGCCGCTGTGCAAGTGATACGCTTGCCGTTGTGCAAGTGATACGGGCCGAGGTGGGTTTGAGGGGTGCAGGGGATGTTGATGATGCTTGCCGTTGTGCAAGTGATACGGGGCGAGGTGAGGATGTTGATGATGCTTGCCGTTGTGCAAGTGATACGGGCCGAGGTGGTGAAGGGGATGTTGATGATGCTTGCCGTTGTGCAGTGTACGGGTTTTTTGAAGGGCTGCAGGGGAATGTGTGATGATGATTGCCGTTGTGGCAAGTGATACGGGTTCAGGGGATGTTGATGGATGTTGCTTTGCGTTGTGCCAAGTGATAGGGCCGAAGTGGGTTTTGAGGGGTGCAGGGGATGTGGATGATGCTTGCCGTTGTGCAAAGTGATTACGGGCGGAGGTGGGTTTCGGGTGGGTGCAGGGGATGTTGATGATGCTTGCCGTTGTGCAAGTGATACGGGCCGAAGTGGGTTTGAGGGGTGCAGGGCATGTTGATGATGCTTGCCGTTGTGCAAGTGATACGGTCGCAGGGATGTTGATGGATGCTGCCGTCTGTGCAAGGAGTGTAGGGTCGAAGTGGGTTTTATCTGAGAACAATGGAAGCGTATGCTTGCCGTTGTGCAAGTGATACGGGCCGAGGTGGGTTTGATGGGTGCAGGGGATGTTGATGATGCTTGCCCTTGTGCAAATGCGGAGGGGATGTTGATGATGCTTGCCGTTGTGCAAGTGATACGGGCCGAGGTGGGTTTGATGGGTGCAGGGGATGCTGATGATGCTTGCAGTTGTTCAAGTGATACGGGCTTGACGGTTGCAGGGGATGTTGATGATGCTTGCCCTTCTGCAAGTGATACGGGCCGAGGTGGGTTTTGAGGGGTGCAGGGGATGATGATGATGCTTGCCGTTGTGCAAGCGATACGGGCCGAGGTGGGTTTGACTGTTGCAGGGGATGTTGATGTTGATGTGGATGATGCTTGCTCTTGTGCAAGTGATACGGGCCGAGGTGAGTTTGATGGGTGTAGGGGATGTTGATGCTGCTTGCCGTTGTGCAAGTGATACGGGCTGAGGTAGGTTTGAGGGGTGCAGGGGATGTTGATGATGCTTGCCCTTGTGCAAATACGGGCGGAGGTGGGTGCAGGGGATGTTGATGCTTGCCCTTATGCAAATACGGGTGGAGGTGGGTTTGACGGGTGCAGGGGATGTTGATAATGCTGGGTTTGGGGTGCAGGGGATGTTGATGATGCTTGCCCCTGTGCAAGTGATACGGGCCGAGGTGGTTTTCAGGGGTACAGGGGATGTTGATGATGCTTGCCGTTGTGCAAGTGATACGGGCTGAGGTGGGTTTGAGGGGTGCAAGGGGATGTTGATGATGCTTGCCCTTGTGCAAGTGATACGGGCCGAGGTGGGTGGTTTTGGGGGGTATGGGGGGGGGGGGTTTTTTGACGGGGGTGTGCGATGTTGATGATGCTTGCGGTTGTGCAAGTGATAAGGGCCGAGGTGGGTTTGAAGGGGTGCAGGGGATGTAGATGATGCTTCCGTTGTGCAAAGAGTGATACGGGGCCCGCCGAGGTGGGTTTGAGGGGTGCAGGGGATGTTGATGTTTCTTGCCCTTGTGCAAGTGATACGGGCCGAGGTGTGTTTGAGGGGTGCAGGGGATGATGCTTGCCCTTGTGCAAGTGATACGAGCCGAGGGGATGTTGATGATGCTTGCCGTTGTGCAAGTGATACGGGCCGAGGTGGGTTTGAGGGGTGCAGGGAATGTTGATGATGCTTGGCCTTGTGCAAGTGATACGGGTCGAGGTGGGTTTGAGGGGTGCAGGGGATGTTGATGACGCTTGCCCTTGTGCAAGTGAGGTGGGTTTGAGGGGTTGATGATGCTTGCCGTTGTGAAAGTGATACGGGCCGAGGTGGGTTTGAGGGGTGCAGGGGATGTTGATGATGCTTGCCGTTGTGCAAGTGATACGGGGCGAGGTGAGGATGTTGATGATGATTGCCCTTGTGCAAGTGATACGGGCTGAGGTGGGGTTGATGGGTGCAGGGGATGTTGATGATGCTTGCCCTTGTGCAAGTGATACGGGCCGAGGTGGGTTTGAGGGATGCAGGGGATGTTGATGATGCTTGCCCTTGTGCAAGATACTGGCCGACGTGGGTTTGACAGGTGCAGGGGATGCTGATGATGCTTGCCCTTGTGCAAGTGATGCAGGGTGTACCCTTGTGCAAGTGATACGGGCCGAGGTGGGGTTGATGGGTGTAGGGGGTGTTGATGATGCCTGCCCTTGTGCAAGTGATATGGGCCGAGGTGGATTGACATTTTGCTTGCGAGGTGGGTTTGCTGGGAGCAGGGGATGTTGATGATGCCCGCACTTGTGCAAGTGATACGGGCCGAGGTGGGTTTGATGATGATTGCCCTTGTGCAAGTGATACGGGTTGAGGTGGGGTTGATGGGTGCAGGGGATGTTGATGATGCCCGCACTTATGCAAGTGATACGGGCTGAGGTGGGTTTGACGGGGAGGGGTATTTGTTTTAGGTTTCTTTTTTTTCCTCGTTTTTTTTTCCCCCCCTCTTTTTTTTCCCTTTTTTTTGATGTTCTTTATTTTCTTCTTTTTTTTCCTTTGTTTTTGGTCTTGGCGTCTTGGCTTTTCGGTTTCTTGGCTTCTTGGCTTCTTGGCTTTTTGGCTTCTCGGCTTCTTGGCTTCTTGGCTTTTTGGCTTCTCGGCTTTTCGGCTTCTTGGCTTTTCGGCTTCTTGTTGGTTTATGCGGCTCTTGGTGGCTTTTTGGCTTTGGCTTTTCGCATTTCCCAGTTCCTCTTCGGCAGGTGACGTTTTGGCTTTTGCGGCTTTTCGCTGGCTTATGCGGCTTTTGGCGGCTTTGGCTTTTCGCATCCTCTGCTTTCCCAGTTCCTCTCTGGGCGTTTTTGTTTCATTGGTTTTTTGGATTTGGCTTCCCGCATCATGAGCATCACCAGTTTTCTCCCTATTTGAATCATCACTTCTTCGAACATCATGGGGGGAAGCTTCCCCACACCCACCTGCTACTTTTTAGATTGTTTGCAGAGTAATTGCACCCCTATTTGAATCAACACTTCTTCAAACATCATGGTGGGGGCTGCCGCCTCCCCCCCCAACCCCCCCGCTACTTTTTAGATTTCTTGCAGAGATTTGGTTGCACCCCCTATTTGAATCATCACTTTTTCGAGCGTCCAAATTCGCGAGAAAATGCTGTAAAATACGACATTTCAGGTAATCTATGTAATCCATGTATGTCTGTATGTATGCACTTCTTCGAACATCATAGGGGAAGCCACCCCCGCCAACCCTCCCGCTGCCTTTTAAATTCTGTCGCACCCGTTCTTGAATCATTGCATCACTTCTTCGAACATCATGGGGCCGCTAAGTTTTAGATTTTCTAGAGAGATTTAATTGCACCCCTATTTGAATCATCACTTCTTTGAACATCATGGGGGGGCTGCCGCCCCCCCCAAACCCCTACTTTTTAGACTTTTTGCAGAGCTATTCACTTCTGCGAACATCATGGAAGGGGGGCTGCCGGCCCCCCTTTTTTTTTTTACAGGGATTGAAATGCCCTCCTATTTGAATCATCATTTTTTCTACTTTGTTGATTCTGTTACCCACGATTTGTTGGTGATGCTAGGGATGTTGGCCGGACATGCGGGGGATGTTGAAAACGATGCTGGGGATGTTGGCGGGCTAGTGGAAAATGCGTCAATTTTGCGAGAAAATGCTGTAAAATACGATATTTTGCTGGCCCGGACGAAAAACGGGGGGGAAGAAAAAAAACCAAACAAATCCCAACAAACATCCCAAAATAAATCCGCACCCGTTTGACGGGTGCAGGGGATGTTGATGATGCCGCCCTTGTGCAAGTGATTTGATCTGTCCCTGACATTCACCTGACAGGAGGGTGCCAAGTCGCTGATCAAGGCGGGGCTTGGTGTTCAAGGTGGTGTGTTTTTGTGCTGCCACTTTCTGCGGCATGGATACGAATCTGCACCACGGAATTTGTGCTGAAAGTTGGACCCAGCCTTTGAAGCTTTGACTGCAAGCCTATCATCTCCAGCATTTGGATTTGTGGGGGTTGCAGAATTCGCAGAAAAGACTTCAGCTATGGAGGCACAGTCGCCGAACAGAACCAGTTGGTCCCATAGGGTTCGGTGATGGAACTGAGTGCTCGAGATTCGTCAAAAGTTTGCACAGGCAGTAGCAGGGGTAGTCCCGATGCAAGTTTCAGCCCCCAATCACATCAACCGCTAGACTTTGAGCAAGACATTGGGAAGTGAAAGAATTGCGATCTTTCTTTGGGACTCCAGCCCTGCTGCCAGTACGTGACAGTGGTGACACGGCAAATCAGTTCCCTGCTGTTGATCAGCTGAAAAAAAGTGCAAAGAAAGCACTTGCAGCGTTCTGCAAGAGCGATCTACGCAAACATGGTCAAATCTTCAGCATGCTTGTTGCTTGGGTCTTTATGTTCGAAAGGCTCCTGTGAATGTTTGCCCACTGCGTTTCGGCCTTTGTGGCCACCTGTGGTCGGCCTTTGTGCTCGGGGCTTCAAGCTCAGGCCCTGGCAGAGGATAGTGACACAGACGTGCGGTGGCGAGCCGCCATGTCTTTGGGCAGCTCGGCTGGGGCTCGGACACTGAAGTGACACGGACAGTCGTGACGCGGAAACCTCAAGTTGCAAGAGTCGAGCTGGTCCCAGTAACCGGCTCGGGCCAGTTGACTTTCGATGGCGTGGCTGATGGCTCGAGGGTTGTTTTCTCCAGGAACTTCTTCCTGAACTCTTTGAGAGTCTTGAATTTGAGCTCAGGCAAACTGGGGCCCGTTGCGGACAAGGGTGGTGCTGAGGCTCTGCTGAAGGCGCCAGTCACACGGGAAGGAGTTCATACACACCCAAAGACTTAAAGATACAGGTGCAAATGTGCAAAGGTGATACCTTTGGGCTTGTCCCTGAGCCTTCAGTCAGATGCCCAGCACCTCGGCTCTACACTCCTTCAACCGCCAGGCACAGTCGCACCACGTACTTGCCATCCGTGACCACGCCCTGGCTGCAGCGCAAAGGGCCGTGGAGCGGTGTGGCTCGGTCGAGAAGAAAGTCTTGGGTGGTCAACCATCTTCTCGTACCTTGCTGACAGATGCTTTGTGGATATGTGTGGCGCGTATGCGTGAGCGCGTATGTTTGTTTGTCTGGATCTGGGGGGGGGTCCGTGTCCTGTACGGGGGGGCGTTCACAGGAACCTGGGCCTGCCTAAGTAGTCTTCCAGTAAGTACTGTTTCGTATTGGCTTAGCATTGGTTTACCCTCCCTCCAACTAACATGGCACCTCACAGAGGGTCCCTTCAGGAGCAAATTGATCTTCCAGGTACCCTCCAACAGGTGCTATGTTAGTGGGAGAGAGGGTAGTGTTCTTGTGGAGTGTCTCAGTACTTTTTGTTTCGAATTGGTTTAGTATTGGAGTATTATTCCTTTGAGCTGGCCCAGTACTGTTTAGAATTGGTTTAGTATTGGGTTAGTGCTTTAGTATTGGTTTAGTATTGGTTCAGTATTGGTTTAGTATTCTTGTGTAGTGGCTCAGTATTGCTTAAAATTGGATTAGTTTTGGTTTAGTATTCCTTCGCGCTGGCCATAGGTGCAGGCCTTTTTCTCTTTTCCCCGACCGTAAGCAAACCATATTACCTTCCGTGTTCCTGGTACATAAGCAAATTTGGCTGGGCAGTTTTAGCAAGCGTCATAAAGAATTTGGCGGTTTGGGACCTCAGCTCTTTTAGCTTTTGGGAGCTTATCTTCATGAGCTGGGACTGTACGGCGCAGGTTGGATGCAAGCTCAGACACTGCCAGCCCCAAAAAACTGCTTATCACCTGGAAAGTTTTTTGTGTGAATTTCCTACCCTTATCGCTTTTCAGGTGAGGGAAGAATGCTCACAAGATAATGTGTATCAACTCCCCATTCAGCTACCCAACATTATCCTCAAAGCACCGTTGCTGCCCTTTCCGGAACGTCTCAGCAACGACCTTTGTCTTCTTTGACAAGTGGGTGGAGACAACAGCCCGAAGTTTGAGGAGTTGTCGCTTCGTGGCCAGACTTGGGGCTGCTATGCAGGGTTTTGGCGAGGCCTAGAGACCCTGGATGAGAGCGTGCACCCATACACGCGAGGGCAGGCTTGGGGGTGGGGTCGTCGGCGCATGTCAGGGTCCTGAGTCATTTGGCTTGAGCTATGTCAACGGTCCGAGCTGATCGGAAAGGTCCCAACAAGAGACCGATGTTTTGGGCAATGATGCAACATACTTTTTCTATGTTGCCGATGGGTAACCTGCCTAATAGTCATTCAAAGTCACTCAAATGCTTTTATGATCCAAGTCTCTCTGTTTGCTTCCCAGATTCGATAGAAGTGCCGTTTGTGCATAGCCCATGTCTTTGGCCAAACACAACTCACGCGCTTCTGGTCTGTTTGATCCTGCCGCTTGTGCACGGCCCGGTCCCATTCTTGGGCAGAGAGACAGTCCGTGCCTTATTCCCTTGCAAGTGAGGGCCTTTTGGTCAGCTTGCAAGCTGCTATGGGTACTGTCAAGCTGGTAATGTGGCTAGTGGCGTTGGTTCATTGGCCCAGTTTCCACCGGTCCTGCCACTTGTGCATGGCCCGGTCCCATTCTTGGGCAGAGACGGTCCGTGC